GGATAAATCGCTGATGAGTCACATCAATCTGAGACCCACTAAGTAGGTATTTGGCACTGAAGCGTCTCATTTCACAAGCTTGCCACATTAGGAAAAACAAAAATGCTAAATGTTGTGTCTGCCTTAAAGGTAAAGGTAAGGAAAGGAGGTGCTTCTTGAATGTTAAAATTGACAATTCGGAGATATTTTGAATCACTAAGGTGATGTAGCACATTGGAATTTGAAAAGTTGATATCCTTTTTGAGATGTCATATAGTTGTCATTATAAGTATATTTATCATAACTAGCCAAAACACTTCAAACACCTAATCAGTCTGTTTCTCAACCAAATGCGATTTTTGCATTTCTCAAAATTATAAGTGCCAAACACTAAGTGGGTTTTTGGCACCGGTGCCTTTTACAAGCGTTTCATTTCTGCTGATGTGTCATGCACACCATATCAGCAAATAAATGGAATCGGCAAGAAAATCGCATTTGGAAAAGCTGACTACTTTTTTGAGATGTCACAGATTTGTCATTATAAAAGTTAAATCATTTTAAATGTCCAATCAGCTTACATCCCATTTTTATGTTTTTCAAAAAAAACAGGTAAAATGAAACACTTGTGAATCTGAGCCCACTTCTAAAATAGAACACTTATGAAACACACCAGTGCCAAACACCCACTAAGATGGCAAGCCTCCAATCTATTACTTGCTTTGTGTAAAGGGTTACACCAGTGCCAAACACCCACTAAGATAGCATGGGACGGGCTACCCCCATTGTTTAGCCCCTTGAAATGAAAAAAGAAAAAAGAAAAGAATAAAAAAAAAAAATTGAAAGCTTGGTTCATTGTGACAATGGATGTCAAAGAGCCTGCCATCATTTCAAGGCCAAATTAATTTTGCCTTTTTATTGCATCGGTAGTGCGAAAAGGTAATAATATTTTGGGTAAATTACAGATTATTACCGTATACTTTAGGGATAATGATAATTATCCCTCTGAACTTTTATTTGTGACAAAGCCTCCCTCTTTGTTAAGTTGAATGATGGAAAAAAAAATTAAGTTATCAAAATACCCACTCAAAAAAATTTTATAAAATGGAAATTGCAACAAGAAAGCAAGAAATTTCTATGAAAATCTAGAATTGTAACAAACACAATATGCAATTGACTGAGAATTCTTGGAAAAAAGGGGTGTTTGGGGATTAGAAAAGTTTAAACAGCTGCATGAGAATCTTTGTCAAAGTTAACTGATGGAATGCTAATCGAGGGGGTCTTTGTTGCAAATGAAAGTTCACGGGGTAATTGCCACTACCCCAAGTACAAGGTAGTAATCTATATTTACCCTAATATTTTTATTGTTAATTAATTTTCTTTACTTTTTGCATTTACATCTTTTATCTTTTATTTATTTGTGCTTATACCACATAGGCACTAATTTGGTTCATACTTCTTTCTTATATTTACCCACATTTATTTCTCTATGACATTTAAGCATGGAACCTTAAGTAATGAACAGTTGTCTCTGCTTGAATGAAGAACATCGTGATGGTCAGTTCTGAGAAACAATGGATCTCATCCAAGGTGTGTATTTTTTTATCTATGTAGACATTATTTATATTCATCAAAGACTCAAATTTAGTTTATTAATGTACTTTTAGGATTATTCCAAGTTTCTTGGCATAACATGTGTATCTTAATTTTTTTCATTACGTCAATATGTTTATTCTAATACATCTCTTAAAATTGTCTTTTCAATATATGTTCTTCATGTTCCTAATTAATGCAATACAATATTAATTCCAATACGACAATTGATGATTCTTTCTTTCCACATGTTTGAACCCATCACTTCCACACTTTAGAAGGTGGTGGCCTAGAGGAGCACCAACCAACGCATTCTATTACTCAATAGGTCAAAAGCCTAATTTATTCAACTCAGGCGTTGTTGTTATCAAAGGGCCTCATGATCCCTTGACAAAATAGACTGTCTTCTTTTACCAAAACTCAAGCTGAAATTTCGGAATTTTTTTAACATTTCCTTAAAATTTCATGTAATTTGGAAAAGAAGGCTACGTACATATAAAAGGAAAATAAAGTATATTAAGGTTGCATTTGACATTCCTTATTTTAAGGACTTATCTCATTTTTATAGTTAAAATATCCCTATGAACATTGAGTTTTTAACAGAAAAAAATGCAATAAGTCCTTAAAATTAGGAATGCAAATGCACCCTAAGTTATCTTAGATTTCTCCATAAGAATCTTTGGAAAATAGGGTGATCCGCTAACTTCACTGCTCCCCAGTGCAATTCAGCATTATACCCCTCTTATTAGAGCCTTGATGAGATGATAATAATAGTCCGTTGCTGTCAATTTTAAGTATCATCCACGTCTTGCTTTGGTCTCTTTGCTGGTTTTAAAAACTTTTTGTTTTTTCATGCCTAAATGCAATATAACTGTTCAGTCACGGATCTAAGTGAAGGGCTTCAACTAGGGGTGTGTTCTGTAATGTGGATGAGAAATTGGTGGGCATGTGGACTGATCCACACCACACCTTGTATCAGGGACCAATCCTCACCACGCCACACCACAGTCCATAATTGTTCTGAACTATGGATAGATTATGTGGATCAAACCAGTCCACACCCACAGTGGCATTCTATAAATGTGGTTATGTATCTCATATACATTTTATGGGAGATCTACACAGTCGATCATAAATGTCTATTCTTTACATTTTATATGGTAAATAAATTGAAAAAAAAATGCATCAATATGTAAACAACAATTGCATTTTTTAAATAATTAAAAATATTATTTTAAATATTAAAAAATAAAAAATAATATTTTAAATATAAAAAATATTACAAAATTAATATTTAAATAATGAGAAAAGAATTTGGAAGGAGAACCATCGGACTTGTGAAAGAATAACATTAAAATATTATATTATTGATAAAATATTAAAAATTTAAAATTTAAAATTTTAAAATTATTAAAATATTAAATAAAATGAGAGTAATTGGACCAATATAACATAAGTGCATTACACTGAAACCTTCCCACAAACTGTCCACGCCATAGTATGGACTATTTACGAGAAAATACTATAGACAATAAATTGAGGTGTGATTCATCCTTGTCTATGCTATTTTGTGGACGGGGTCATAAAGATCATGAATCTTAAGTGCTTCTAAAAGAACGAGGGCTTTACTTTTAACAGCTAAGGAGGGATTGAGATTTATTGAACGAGCAATTACGAACGATCCATGATGGTCGCTGATAATCAATCCTGCACCCACACCTGATCTAGAAAATGATCCATCAAAGTTGAGTTTCAACCAATTTATATGGGGGTTCATCCACTTATCATTAACAGATTCAAAAGGATGAGTGATGGGTAGTGTCCAATATTGGTTTAGAGCATCAACCATTGCATTTACCCTCCCAATTAAACAGAAATTTCATTAATAATTCGCTTAATATCCAAAACGTCATTATCCAAGACAAGACAACAGGCTTTCCAAAGCATCCACATAATAATGGCACATCGAGCAAAGATAGGAACATGATCTTTGGAACCGGGATCATAAATGTAGCCCAAGAACTAAATTAGAGTATATCAATAACATCATATTGTATAAGGTTAATACACGGAAGGTGTTCAAATATTTTAACCTTTAAACCCTATCAATGAGTTACGAGATTTAAGGAAGTATAAAAAAAAAATGAAATATTTTTTTATCCTTTCATCTTTAATTACAGACATGCATGACACTAATTGATAATAAAGGGCCTATTTTAGACAATTCAATAGGTTATCTAGAAGGAAAAATACCCCCATAAATAAAGGAAAAGGAGTCGCTATTAACTTTTTCTCTCAAATAGATCTGTCAAATAGATTAGGTCTAGGTCCAAAAGAGTCCAACATTACCCACACTCATTATGATATGCCATTCATAGCACTCTCCAAAAACAGCACATGCTGTTTTTTTACAAACAGCCAAAAGTTTTTTCCGGATTACATAATCCTGGATAATACACATTGCAGGTTTAGATGTATTTTTAGATAATACAATTGCAGGCTTAAGTGTATTCAGGGGTGGATTCGAGCTGAGCCGAGTCAAATAGTACGCCGAGCTCGAGCTCGAGTTTGGTTCGAGTCAAAAGTTCAGAAACTCGAGCTTGGCTTGTTTAATAATTGAACCACTGAATGGGGCTCAAGCTCGAGCTTAGCTAAAACCGAGCCCAGCCGAACTCGAGAAGCTCGTGAAAAGCTTAGCTCATTGCCACCCCTAGGTGTATTTTTGGATAATCCTTTTGTGGATCAGTAACAAAATGGCACATAACTTTTTAAATGTGTTAACAGCCCATATATAGATCTGGATCAAATATTTGTCCCTGATATGAAGTAATTTGAAAGAATCTAGGAATTGCTCTAATAAGTGATAAAATAAGAGAAATTGATCTAAAATCTATAGGAAGAAGTTAACTGTCACTCTGTTGAAAATCAAAAGAGACTACAAGGGATGAGACAGACAAAAAAGGACATGAGTTCAAGTAATAAGAAATTATTTAAGCGCTCGTAACTGTAGTTAAAATGGCAGTGAACAAAATAGAATTGTGAAAACCGACCAATCGAGGGATAGCTCGGTGGTATGTTAACTGCTTCGCTCCAGCAATGACGCAAAATCGATTTCCGCAACTACCGTTTGGAGATGGGCAGTTATTAGTGGTGCGTGGCACCAATACCTAAAAAACAGAAATGTGAAAACGTGAATTCGCATAGCTGATCCCATATAATGATGTTGACAATGACGACAACCGGTCTCAGTAAGAGAACCACCATGGTCGTCCTATTGTACATTGGCTGTTTGAATTACTACCGTATCTAAGCTGTGGCACCTCAATTTTCTAACCACATGATGCATTGACCTCCCTGATCAGGCCCAAAAAGTTTCGAGGGATATGCACATAAACCTAGATTTTGCAAACCGATAATAAGACAGGTTCATCTTCAACCAAAGCTTAGACAGATCTTTGCTTATATATAAACAGTTAATGTCTTTACACTATAGAAACAAGAATCCGTCATGAACATGTCGCTTTTCCTTCTTCACTAAAAAGGAAAACAGAAGACAAAAAGACAAAATACAGGTCCAAGAAATTCTGATGGCCAAATACTTGTGCATATGATATAAAATAGATTACAATTTTCATTTTGTTGTCATCGTCTTCTGAGCAGGAACCAGGTTGTGAACACTCTCAAGAAGAAATATTCTCCAGCAACTGAATTACTTTTGCTCGTTCAGTTATGTAATTATAAACCTATAACACAGTACAGCATTGGTTGGTCTTCTTTGCTTGCTTGTAAAACATCTGTTCCAACATTTAACACCCAGAATATTTAGGTTAGCATGGAAGTCTTATACACACTACTAGATCTACAATATGTGCATGGCAATATGCAAAATGCAATATATTTGCTATACAATTCTTTACTATATTAATTAAAAACATTGATCAGTTACTGCCAAAAAAATGCTCGCTTATACAAGTTTATAAACATTGTTAACAGGCATCTCCACCCCAATTGACCACCTTAACCACGCAAGCTTTGCAATTCAAAAATATAAGACATCCTTAAGTGGTTATGTAAGACGATTGATTTGAGACACAGACAAGCATCAATGGTTAAACCATTGATTATCATCCACAGTATCTATAATCAATGCACTCAATGGAGTTGATTGGTAACACGATAGATTGACAGATTGCCAAAGGAAGAGTTATGGAAGAGAATTCAAATTTGATGATGTTTAATATTCCTTTGTCTATTAATCTACATTTCTTCTTCAACTGTTTTCATTTTTCCCAGATCAGGGGGTGGGAGTGGGTACTTGGAGATTGGCCAATTTGGATAACAAGAACCTTATACATTCAAGAAAGCACTCGTAGCTGTCTAGGAAAGGAATTCATAAGAATAGTTTTCTATAAATAGATAATCTAAATTCCAGAGATATTCATAATCTAGCTCCTGAAGATTTTCCTAGTTTTTGGATTTGTTCTTTGCAATGCCGAGTATTAAGTAATTAATTAACGTCAAGTGGAGGATCTTGTATAATCTTCCATTTATTCATCCCACATCAGGAAGGCAAGCATAATCCATGAGTTCAGTTGTGAACTACACTAATTGACACGAGAATACACTAATTGTCAGATGGTGTAAAATTGTGGGTGGTTGGATTGGGGATTACCATATTACCTCAATGACATCAAGGAAATCATGAAAGCCAGAAATGTCCAAATAAGATGAATCCTAATAGGACTGAATCCTACAGCAAGTACACTGCCCAGGTTGGAAATTGAGGGGGCCTTTTGCATGGTAACAACTTCTTACCTGGGTGGTTTTTTAACTGAAGCATTAAAATGGTTGTCCCTGCTATGCACTTACCAGACCAGATATCCTTTTAGGACTAATTCATACTCATTAGAAATTAATGAGTGGCTTATACTACTCAAAATAAATTTATATATATATATATATATGGGCTTAAGATGAAGATTGATTATTGTAGTCTAGAACATATGCCATTATGACTGAAGAAATATCAGTTTAAATTTATAGTGATTTGTAGTCAAGTGCAACAGAAACAGACAAGGATCACCATTTTGAACAACACTATTGTGGATAAAACACCTTCATTTAGCTAATACATTTTATCCTTCTTTTTACGAAATAGAAAAACACATGATAGACCAGTAACGTTGATAATAGTAGCAGCACAACTTTAAATTGGGCGTACTGATTGATATGCCCTTATTGAAACCATGATTTCAATGTTACTGGTGTGGAAATGAGTATCAACTCATTTCTGGGGAATCATGGATCACAGTTTTGAACAACACTATTGTGGACACAACACCTTCACTTAGCTAATGCCCTTTATCATCCTTTGTTTCAAAGAGAGAACACATGATAGACCAGTAAGTCAATAATAGTAGCAGAACAACTTTAAATTGGGTATACCGTATGTACGCATTGATACGCCCTTATTGAAACCATGACTCCAGTATTACTGGTGTTGAAATGAGTATACTAGCAGGCAACCAAAAAAACAAGGAAGTTTCCAWTTTTAAAGTTTAAACATTTCCCTGCTTCTGAATTAAAGGAAAAAGAAAGAAATCATGTGACTAAAAACACAAATATATGTAAATGTGGGCAGGGATAGGCTTCAATGTGTATATATACATAAACATAAATGTATTAACAAATGTATGGTGGTGGAACACATAACTAGATAAATGCAATCTAAGTGGTACCTGTGATGCTGCACTCAGATCTGAACTCTTCTCAACTAAACTGTCCAGCCTTTCACCTCGTTCAAGCACACTGTCAATGGTTTTATGCTGTATCAACAGAAAAAAGATAAGATCAATAAARTATGAGGAAAGACATACCAGCAGAAGAATCATATATTAACTGTTGCATCAAAAGAAAATCCAAACAAAATATATCTTATCAATTTTGTTTTAAAATATTGGCTAGAGAGAAGATTTGACCTGGAGGAAATAAAGGAAGCAGTGTTTTCAATGGATAGAGYCAAAGCACCAGGTCCAAATGGGTTTACAATGGCTTTTTATTGATGTTGGGAATTGGGACATTCTAAAAGAWGATRTACCAAGGATTTTTAATGAATTTTTTGGGAGAGGGACAATAATTCCAGGAGTGAATTCCACTTTCATTGCTTTGGTCCCAAAATAATTGGATGCAAATCACCCAAGAAAGTTTAGACCCATCAACTTCGATAACAACTTGTATAAAATTATTGCAAAAGTGCTTGCTC